CGGCACCCACCTTGATAGTAAACACCCCGAGACATCCAATTGTTGTTTAGATCGATGGTAAATAAACTATCTCCTAAGTACCATTGTCATGAAGAACAATTATTTTCTCAACCATGGAACGATAAAATGGATTGCTTGATTATTCTCTCGAGCTTGTTGGAATTTATACTGTGTTTACTAGTAATCCCAACAAGGAAAGGAAAGTAATCCTAGTAATTTCTATTCCTATTTACTCAATAATAGGGATTCTAAACCTTCTTAAAAGGGCAGCCCGGTGCACTAAGCTCCCGCTATGTGCGCCCAGGGAAGGGCCGGACCATAAGGATCTATTTACAAAATAAACTCTTGTCCTATTAATAATTTCCTAATCTTAACAACCCAGAATTGTTTGTTATGGTAAATGATAGGGAAGCTAGGGTGATAGGCTATTTAAGAAGGGATGACCAGGATAATATGGCGGAGACACATGGCTTATACTTCTAATTGTGAAATTATTCATTTGGAGTTCCTTGAAGAAGATGTAGGGGAGGGTGTGTGTGGAAGAATACTGGGAACACGAAGGCACCAACGAGAGTAGATATTTCCTAGTATAGTGAAAGCAGCAACAAGTTGGAGATTAAGAGATTGGTAGAGAAAGAAAAGCATGTCATTTTGTCCATAATGAAATGGTTGTGGAGAAATGGGCAAAATGAGAAAGGATATTGGAAGGATGTCATAGGTGTCAAATATGGAGCTCAGAATCACTGGTTTACCAGGAAATGCACAACTTCTCATGGGGTAGGGGTTTGGAAAGGAATTTTTCCGGAGTATTTGATTCAAAGTTGGTATGGTCTTCATGTTAGATTTTGGGAGGACAGGTGGCTTGGAAACACAATACTAAAGGAGTCTTATCCAGGTTTATATAAGATAGCCAGCAACCAAAAGGCAAGTATTGCTCAACACAGGGAGGGCAACAACTGGAACCCTTAATTCAGAAGGAACTTGTAGGACTAGGAAATCAATGATCTTCTCACACTCTTAGAAGTTCTTGGTTGCTGGAGTACTCTAGAGCACCAATATGACAAATAGCCTGTTTGGCTAAGCTTTTAAAATCTACTTATTTTGAGAAGTGGTTTTTTCCAAAGTGCTTTTCAAAAAAGTACTTTTTGTGAGAAGCAGTTTGTATTTGGCTAATCAATTTGAAAAGCACTTTTGAGGTCCAAGCTTTTAAAAAATGCCTCTAAGTGTATTTTTCTCAAAAGTGCTTTTCAAGAAAGTGCTTCTGGGGAGAAGCTACTATTTTCCGCTTTTCAAAAACTGCTTCTACTTCTACTCAAAAACACTTTTTTTCCTTCAAAAGGCTTGGCCAAACACCTTAACTTTGGGGAAGAAAAAAATACCTTTGACCAAAAAAACAAAGCACTTTTGGCCAAGAAAAAAGCTCGGCCAAACATGTTAAAAATCACGTGGGAGAGTTGTAAGGAACGAAAGTTCACTGTCAAAGATAGCTACAACCGCTTATGCTCACAAAATGGTATGCTAGTGGACTATCTTTGGAAACATGTTTTGAGGGTAGACAACCACTAAAAGTGGCATGTTTCACATGGACGACACTTAATGAAGCTTGCTTAACGCATCTCGGCAAAAAAGGGTATTGTCCTAGTCAACAGATACTACATGTGTCACCAAAACTTTGAGAATTTTGATCACTTATTTTTACACTGCCTAGTTGCATGTGCTATTTGGAATTTCTTTTCTCCATTTTTGGTCTGCAATGGATCATGCCTCATTCTATCCGGGAGCTTTTGGTAGCTGGTGTTCTTCAAGAGTTGACAAAATCATCAAAAGAATTTGGAGAATGATAGCTGCAGTAAATTTGTGGTGCTTATGCAAAGAAAGAATCTCAGCTCCAACCTACACTCTGAAAGCTAGATGCTTAGTTAATTTATTCAAATGAATTTTTTCTCTTGTAAATAGTGTTGATAATTTTTTGGATATTGTTAGCTCTCTGATTCTAACATAGATATGGCTTGGAACTAACTTTTTTACTGTTTATAGCTTTTTGATATACTAGCTCCTTGTAGGTTTTTTATTCGAGCTAGCTTTTGATTCCTTTTGTAATTCTGCATCTTCTTGATGCCTTTTCTACTGCAATTTACTTCATAAAAAACACTAAAAAAATTTTGGGATTATTTGGAATGGTGAGACGTATGTAAAGCACAAGCAATTTTTTTACCGTATATTCTTTTTTGCTTAGAGAGAATCCACTGCGGGCCAGATAGTTGGGATGATATGAAAATGACGAGCAACCATGTCTTGAACTTGTACATAATTTTGACAGTTTTTTTTGATAATAATAAAAGATTTCTTATGAAAAAGCTTGTGGTAAATCCTTTTCAAAAAAAAAAAAGCTTGTGGTAAATATGGACAAGAAATGTGATTCATCAACAATGGAAAAAAGATACAAAGAAACAAGATGGAGGTTTCGGAAAACTTGTTTTTCCCTCCTTTTTCTTTTGTCCTTCAACTTGTAATTTGTGAGTAGATTTTCTTTCTGTCCTTGGGTTACTGGGAGAGTGGATCGGGGGGCAGCAGCCAGTGGATACAGTTCTATTGATTGTTAGAGAATGTGGATTTTTAAGTTGGACTTAAGGTTTCAGTTTGGAGGGTGTTTGGATTGGCTTAAAAGCTAGTCAAACCAAAAAGCATTGACTCATTTTGGTATTTGGCAAACACAAAAAGTGCTTTTAAACCAAAAACTTTCGAAAACAAGCCAAAAGCTATAAGTTGGAGAACTTATGGCTTTTTTGCTTAAAAGATAGATGAGTTTGGCCTAGTAATTTACATTACTATCCCTTATATGTGTTTATAAACCTCACAGTACCCTCCCTAACTGAAAGTCCAAATCCCGTTTTCTTATTTTTCTTCCTCCATCTAGTTGCTAACAAAAACGTTTGGTTTATAATCTATGCTTCTTGTTTGCATTGGAATATTCTCTTTTGAAGACACTACTTCATATCTGATCTTGCTTCATTATTAAAGCCGCTCACATCGTTATTTCTAGACAGGATCTTTATCAGATGAAATAGATAACATATAAATTTCAGAGAAGAGAATCTTCTTTCTGGAATTAGAAAGTATATACATCGAAATTTTAATGGATCAAAGCCTATACGAAATTTGGGCTAAATCTTACATTCAAGACTCTACTCTTGAAATTTTAGGAGTCTATTAAGGCTGCTTGGAGGATACTCTACCAATACCCTAACTTGAAGGCTACCTACCCTAACCCTAGGTCATTCTTATAATAAGGATTACATATTCCCTTAAAAAAAGATCTAAAAAAATGGAGATCATCTCAATATCCCATAAACTCTTGGGATACTCACAAAGAGATTAGCCAGACGTTTCTTGATAATAAAATACTTCAAGAAGATCCACGACTTTCATGGAGATCAAATACATCTCAGGAAGGTCCTCATCATTCTAAGTTCGAGAAATATGATGATTCAGCCCTCGAATCACGGAGAACAATTCGGAGGAAGAATCAAGGAGAAACAGAATTGTATCATAATTGATTAATAAAATAACTTTATTCTTTTGTGATTGCAGTTATTTTTTCATGTGTTGAAAATTCGTTGCAAACAAATTGGCACGCCCAGTGGGACCAATTTTGCTCTTCGCCTCTTCCTCCTGCAAATCGAAAACTACAAGTTTCAAGATCATCTGTTGCGATGGTCGATTACTTCAAGTCTCGTCTTCAAATTTCGGCGAAGCCTACACTCCGACAAACCTTGAAGTATGGGGCATTTATAGACAAGGAAATTTTAATGGATCAAGCACATACGACATTTAAGCTAAATCGTAAATTGGAGGCTACTCTACCAATACTCTAGCTTGGAGGCTACCTACTCTAACCCTAGGTCACTCCTATAAAAATGGCTATATTCCCTTAAAAAAAGGATCTCAGAAGTGGAGATCATCTTGAATATCCCATAACCTCTTCTTGGGATCACAAAGAGATCAAGATGTAGCCAGGCGCTTCTTGATAATAAAATACTTCAAGAAGAAGATCCACACAATGCTTGACTTTCTCCGCATTATCCCAAGTTCGAGAAATACGATGATTCAGCCTTCGAATCACGGAGAATAATTTGGATCAAGGGAGAAACATGATTGTACTCACAATTGATTAATAAAATTACTTTATTTTTTGTGATTGCAGTTATTTTTCGTGTGTCGTTGCAAGCAGAAAGAAGAGGTCCTAATTTCATGTAATACTGCCACGAGATAAAACTATGTGAAAATGTGTAAAATAATTGATAATTAGTAGGTTAATTTAATGGTGTAAAAAATTAGATATTGTTAATGTATAAAACTTTACTACAGATATATAGTATAAAGTGATTTGAGATCCAACTTAATTTGTATTTCTATTAGTTTAAAATTAAGAAGGTTGCAATAATAAGCTCATATTTCAATCATTTTAGCAGAAAAATACTTATCAGTACTCCTTTTCACCAAACACATCGATTGTTAAGCTTAGCACTTTCAGTCTAACACAACACACGTAACTGCTTACTCATAAATTCAGCCAACACTTGGACAATGCTTTCAGCACTTGGTGCTTCAAAGCTACTTAAATTCAGCTAAACCGAACGGGCTCTTAGTCTTTGTCAGTTTCAAGACTTTGACAATGCAAGATAGTGATCTAGGAACAGTTCTATTTTCTTTTGGTGGAAGTACATGTTAGATAGCCTTCTTTATTTGGAAGGCAGTGCGGTGGGGGCATAGGGCAAGATAGAAAGTTTATTAGGCGGGATGGCTTACCTTTATAATATTGTCCTTGCAGATGTCCATGTTCTTTCAAACTTAAAAATTTAGTGGAACTACATGTTAGATAGCCTTTATATTTTGGATGGTAGTGTCTCATATCCACTTTCCTTGTTGACAAAGTTTTTACTTTTTAATAATTTATAAGCTATACTCCAATTTGTGCTAACATGCTGGTCCATTTGTAGTTACGATGTATAGGGAGGGTATCAGGCGTGAAAGTTTCATTTGATACTGAGAATGCACGGGATACCCTTTATCGTGTGGCAATCGACTTTGTTCTTAATCATTGTGAAAGGTAGCTCGCTTTGCTCGACGCTTGATTGCTAAATGCCCTACTTTTTCATCCTTTTTACCCTCATATAGCTGCTGTTTCTTTGCTCTTCTGCAGCACTGCAAATCAGTCAGCTTTTGTTCTAATTGGTGGTGAAGAAGCACAAAACTTCATTGCTGGGCTTGCTGATAATGTTGGACTTGACAATACTCGGGCTGCAAGAATGGTTTCTGCAGCTGTTGCTGCACGCACTAGGTCAAGGTTCTTGCAAGCTTGGGTAAGTTTTTCTTCCACGTGGAATTAAATTTATTTATGCCCTTGGACTTCTTGAAGCAGGCTGTGTTATTAAAAACCTTAATCCATCCATAAAGTTGTACTGCATAAATCTACTTTTGATAAAGCTATCGGTTCTTCTTCAACTATGGCTGGTAGAATTTGGAAGCGAAGGAGGAGAATTAAATGGAGATCCGTTAAAACCTAATGGGCCAGCCAACCCTCCTAGTTACCAATTTCCAACCTCCTCTTCAAGTTCTAGGCATGACAAGAAAGGAGATTTACAATTAACCCAAGAACAATTTTTTTTGGTAAGTTAAACCCAAGAGCAATTTTTGATCATTCTCCTCCCTCCTCTTTCCTTTTTCATCCCCGGAACACTCCTTATAACCAAGACTAGTTGGTACAATGTTTGTGCATGGGATAAGCCCCTATGTTATTAAATGGCTAGTAAAATGAAAGGGAGTAGCAAATAAACAGTTGCTAATTAATGTCATGCTTCCTCTTTTACCTTTAATAAGGGAAGAAATTAAGCCTTGCTTAAAAATAGAAACCTCTATGATGAGATAATAAAACATCAGTTTTGAAGCCCTGTTGTATAATATGTAAAAGTAGGAAACTAAACACCTACTGTAGTTTCTTCTAATTCCCACCAATCCATCAATTGCCGCTGGTATGTTGAATGTATCGGCATGTGTACTTCAGTACATCTGGTTTTGGATTTGGGGATTGAGAGAATTATTGTCTTACAAAAGAAGAAAGATTGTCTTCCATCTTTGTTTTCCCTCTAAAATAAACAGTTGGCATGATGAACTAATTGATTGATGGTCATAAATATAATATATTTTGCTTGTACTGATGCTACTAGAATCTTTTTGTTTTCAGGCCTTGGAAATGCAAGGAAATCATTCTGAAGCTGCCGTGGAACTGTTTAAAATATGTGTAATTCACCAGATATTTCCTCCTGAAGAGTTCTCGGTTCGTCTTCTCTTCATTTTGTACTTCGGTTAAGTTCGTGCGGTTTATGCTCTGTTTGTGTAATTCTCATGGTGTGTGCTATTTTAATTCTTTAAAAAGTGCCTCGACATTGATAGTTGATTAGAAACACAAAAATCCAGGAAAACTAATTGATAAATTTATTCTTGATCCCAATGCCTGATGGTATAATTTACTATATGAAAAAAAGAAGGAAATCAGCTATCAATGATCCTAGCTAGATTATTCACTCTCTATAGTGATCTTTTCAAGCAGTGTTTTAAATGGCATGAGCGTAAGGCGAGGCGTTTTATATATGCCTCAGCGACGCGTAAGCCCCGAGGCACGGGGCATAAGCCCCATTGGTATTTAATATTTTTAATACTTTATAAAATAATATAATTACAGTAAATATTTATAAACAGGTAAAATTGCATAAAAATTGAAGAAAACTATAAATATGTGAAAAATTTATATATAGATGTGCTCCATCCCCACGAAAAATTAGTCAAAACAATCTAGTAAGCGCTACTTACAAGCACAGATAACTTGAGTCGAAAAGAATAAAGCTTTCTACATGGAGGAACAAAAAGGATGACTAACTTGCAATTTGAATTTTGCAGTTGCTGCTACGAAGGAGAATGAAGTTCTCTTTGTATTTGTGGAAAAAAATTGAATATTTTTTGCTTTTGGGACATATTAGCAGACTAGCGGACAAGATAAAGAATTGGGAAAGATCATAAATTAGGGCTTCAATTAATAAAAAAGGTCTTGACTTTTAAATTTAATACATTTCACTTCTTTTTAAAACTTGAGTAATTACAAGCTGACTTTTTTGAATTTGGGTATTATATGAAGGATTTATTCAACAAATATTGTTTTAATTTGAAAAAGTCTTTGGGGCGTACGCCTCACTACAAAAACGCGTCTCAAAAGCCCGGGCGTACGCCCTGAACGCCCGGACGTACGCCCCAAATTGTTGGGCGTACGCCTCTTGAGGCTTTCGCCCCACACCATCGCCTCGGGGCATTTTTGGTGCGGCTCGCCCCACGGCCCGCCCCGAAAATGCCTTTTAAAACATTGTTTTCAAGTTGTCTCACTATTTCAAGGTGCCGATGCACTTTGCACTGCTGTGTAGGGCTATTTCATGCTATTTGTTGTTTTATTGCATGTTTCTACAGCCTGAGATGGAGATGGTGGCTCGTGGACTTGAGAAACACTTAAAACACTTAATTGTTGGGCGTACGCCTCTTGAGGCTTTCGCCCCACACCATCGCCTCGGGGCATTTTTGGTGCGGCTCGCCCCACGGCCCGCCCCGAAAATGCCTTTTAAAACATTGTTTTCAAGTTGTCTCACTATTTCAAGGTGCCGATGCACTTTGCACTGCTGTGTAGGGCCATTTCATGCTATTTGTTGTTTTATTGCATGTTTCTACAGCCTGAGATGGAGATGGTGGCTCGTGGACTTGAGAAACACTTAAAAGTAGATCAGAGGGAATTCCTAATGAACACTCTTCTACGTGTGTGTGGTGATCAGAGCAGGAGAAGTGTGGCTGAAGCTCTGGGCCTGGTATGCCTAGTTTGTTGCTTCTATTCTGTATCTGGTAAATCTAGAATTTGTTGCTCATTGATATTGGGCATCTATTTGAGTGACATTTCCAATTGTAGCGGCAATTTTTTGTTGGGAAGTGGAGACTCCTGTCAAATTTCTACCTATTCTTTGTGCTTTGAGAAGAGAATTCTGCCCTCAGCGTTGTAAAGTAGATCTGAACAAGCAGTGTGGAGAAGGCATCAATTCTCTATCCTCAGTTTTGTGCACAATGCCCTCTTAGACGTCGAGGAAATTTACCTGCTCTAATCTGGGCCTGTCTCTTTTCAAAAATAATTTTATACTCTCTTCTGTCCTCTCCTTGAGCAAAATATGGAAGTTATTTCATCCCAAGTGTCTCTGTGTTTTCGTGTGCGTAACTAGTAGGAGTAGGAAAAGAGTTCAGTTCTGGATGAACTTAGTGTCATGTGGCATGGCTGGTGGGTTTTTATTCTTAACCCTGGTCTTCCTCTATTACTTTTAGTCATCTACCTTGGTTGTTAGCTGTGTTATAAAACCCTAGGAGGAGATTTTCTAGTTACTTAAAGATAGTGATTATTTAGAAAATTATCCAACTGATATGTTAATCACTTAGGGTGTGTTTGATAAGTGGTTTTCTTATTTTTCGGCGTTTGGTTAGCAAGCAGAGAATATTGTCCCAAGAGCATTTATATATAATCTAGGAAAAGACTATGGAGGTTGGGGTTTGAGAGGGGTTGAAGTAGGGGTGATTGTGGGGGCTTTGGGGGAACCTAAGGGGTTGGGTGGTGGGCAGGGGGGGCCAAGGGGGTGGGTGGCGGGGAAGCTGGGTGGTGGTAGGGAGGGTTAAAACCATCTGTTGGATAGTTTCAGGAAATTTTTTCCCTCTTGCTAGGGAAGTAATTTTTCGGAAATTAGAGGAAAATGTGTTCAAAAGGAAATGTTTTCCAAAACATTTAAACCAAGCTAACATTGGAAAATTGGAAAACATTTTTCCGAGATGTTTTCCAACCTCACTTTTTTCGGAAAAGAAGAACCAAACAAATGTCAGGCTTTGGTAGAGGCTCTTAATTAAAGTCTGTCCACATGTGCTGTACTTCCCTTCTGTCTCTTCTAATCCAGTTTTTGGTTGACTTCCAGAAAATATTTCCTCGAGGCTAAACTGATGATTTTCTAAAATTGCAAAATTCAAAGAAGAAAAGACTGAAACTTTTTTGCAAATACAAAGGTTTAAGAAATGAGAAACTATAAAAAGGGACTGAAGATTCCGTTATCACTCGAGTTAGAACTCCAAAGAGCTATGGAACCTTTAAGCTGTCTTAATGCTAGTGACTTGGTTGTTTCGTTGGAGCAGTGTTCCTTGTTGTGTGACTACTCCCATCCCCATTTCCTGTTTTCTTTTTGTTCCTTTCAAACCCAATAACACACAGCGGAAGAGTTCCTAAAGGCTCTAAGAAATTCTTATTCAACACAAATTTCACCCTCACCTCTTCAATCTCTGGCAAGTTGCTTTATTTTTCATACTTTCCAAAGTGAGCAGCGTAAAGAGGTATCTTGTTACCATGGGTATCAAAACCTGTTGGATTTTCTCTTGAGACTTCTGAGCAGGAACAGTCTGGACTACTGGTCCTGTGCAATGCTTATCTCCTAGGTTATCTGCTGTTATTTTTGCTTGAGTTAACCTTTAAAATAGAATATGGTTCTTTTTACCTTCATAGTATTATTACATTTGTTTCCTTCGTAAATGTGTTTTGGTATTGCTGTTTCTCCTTTACCCTTTATCTGTTGGTTTTTCACTATGTGCTCTTTATCTACTTGATTTGTTTTCCACTTATCTTCTGCAGATGTACTCGAAGGATAACATCATTCATCAACAGGAAAACAAGTATACGTAAATCACTAATTTAATTTTGCACTCTTGTTGCGTACATGAAATGATTTTTAAAGATGATGAATGATGTTTCAATACTCTGAAGGACTTTGGACAACAATTAGTACTACTACTGTATGCAACAACGTTCCAGAATATTTCAAATGGATTATTAAATTTATCATGTAAAAGGTAATGTTAACTGCTAGAAGAAGGGGAAAATGTGTATATTACACTCTACTAACTTAAATTTTGTGGACGACCCCTTAATTGCCTAGTCTCGTGCGGATTGGAACTAATCCTCCTCTACCAAATGATTTTCAGATTTGTGTTTGGCTTGTGTTATACGTGCGCTTGATACGTATATAAAGCCACTTATTCTTTCTTCTTTTTTTTTTTTACCTTCCTTTTGTTCTTTGTTTCACCACCATATTATACCATTGTCCATGGGAAAGGAGAACTGTCGTTCCCACCAGCTAAAACCTTCTATCACGTAGCCTACCACCTATCTTCTCTGACAACCCAACAACATTTCCCTTTCTCGTTGGCACCTTAACCGATAAACCATACCGAGAAATAGCTCACCTCTCATCACCAATCTTCATCCCTCCAGTTCACTAGAGGTGGATTTATAATTTAATTTGATGGATTCATGCTGTAAAGTTTTTAGCACTGTATTCATTATAACTTGTATTATCAATTAATGGGCAGAGGTCGGACCGTCCAAATAAACCTATTGGACAAATAAGGGGAAGGACAAGCTTAACTTTGAAGGAAAATTCCTATTGGACTAGTAAGGGGAAGGACAAGCTTAACTTTGAAGGAAATTTCATGTCACAGTTCTATTAGAAGAATAATAAATCTACCTTACTAGAGGAACAAGTACAAAATCTAGTTGAGTACTAATTATATTAGTGGTGGAAACATCATCTAGCTTTCCTGCAGCTTTAGCAGAGACTAGAGAGCACAGTATTCTGTAGTAGAATTATTTTTTTCGTTTACTGCAAAAACATAACAAAACTAAAGAATTAAAAGCCAAGAGTTCTTGAAATCCTTTGATGCACGAGGATATGTCATCAATCTTGCGAAATAGTTGCTTGTAAATTGGCTACTCCATTCAGTATCAGCAGAATATATGATCACTTCTATATGTCCCTGATGCTCTTTAAAGACTCCCTCCTTAAATTGTAGCCTTTTGATCTGTTATTATCATCCTTCTTTTTCCATGCTTCTCCATCCGTCATTAAGCAAACCATTCTTGTCATCCTTCTGGAGAAATTGAGAGGATCATTGAAGCAAGATGATACTTTAACTAAAGTCAACCTATTTCAAGAAATTGTACAATCTTCACCAAGCTAAAGTATGCTACCAAAGCTGAAACCTTAATTTAACGTATTTGTGACACACTTTCTACTGTAATTGAAGATTGATATTTGCATTTTCTAGTAATCATTCAAAGGTTGAGAATTTTAAAAATCCTGGAAGAAAATAAGAAACAGTCAATTTCTCGAGTTCACTGTCTTAATAGTTGAAAAACTCAGCATGATAAGTAACAATTGAATACAACCTAAACTATAATCTGGCCGAAGCTTTATTTTCACAATCTTTATAGTTCAAACACAGTGTGACATATAAGAAGTTGGATATAAAAGCCACCATGTTACCTCATATCTGGAAGAACTTCCACTATAATAGAAAATTGATCACTTAGGATTTCTTTGTAGCAGTTAAAAATCAAGCACATTGAAAATCTTGGAGTAATATTTTGTCCGCACTATTCCACCATCTTGGCAAGCTGGAGATGATCTATGAAGAGAACTTTCAGTGTTGCCTCCTTTATGAGATTACTATTAACTACTACGATAATTTTCCTTAGTAAGGAGGGAAATCTCCTGCATGATCCCACGAGGATGTCAAAGAGCTGGAGATGGACTAAGATAGAAGGACGAAAATTTTATTTGAGTCAAGACATTGGGTTTTCATCAAACACCTTTGCTATCGGAAAGAAGCAACCTATACTTCATGATTCAGAACTTTAACATGATAGGCAGAAATATTTAGATAGTTGCTACAGGAAGAAGGGGAAACCAGGAGTGGACTGACTTTGCTAAGTTGATTCAGATTGTTGTAAAAAGCATAGTGTATTTCTCGAAACTAAGAATAAGGAGGAGGAGGAGGAGAACACATGAACGCGACTGTCAAGAAAATCGTATAGCAACGCATGCAACAAGATTGTAACCCATATCAAATAAATTCTTAATAATTCAAACATAAATCAACAAAAATGGGCCAAAATCCAAAAGAGATTTATGTTAACACCCACGAAAATGTGATTACCAACAAAAGAGTAATAATAAGCAGAGAAAGATTTCACCAAATAAATTGCCAACATCAAAAATAATTACGAAAAAGAAATGAAAGAAGATCCATATTTAAAGAACAGCAAAGAAGTGCAATAAACAAAGAAAACTTACAGAAAAAGCATACCAAGACTGAGACCTCACCTTGAGAGTGCGAAGAATTGAGAGGAGTAGAAGAAATTAATAGAATGTAATGACTGGGAATCGGCTGTGAAATTTCTATATAGCGAATGCAGTACACGTTTACTAACATAATGTGCATACACGTGTCCTTATAGAAAGGTTCAGAGGCATGAGATAGAATTACATTCATACACGTTTAAAGTACAATTTGTAGTGCTTTTTGTTCGGTTATATGATGCTATGTTCGTCCTCCTTGGCCATTTATATATATTAGTAATACCCTCCTTTCAAATTCACCTCAATTCTAGACGATCTTCAATTTTTCATGTGCTAATATTCATGCCATCTTCATTAATTCCGGCGACGAGTTTTGAATCGTCTAAAATTTGTGGGCCTATAAAAAACGACCTAATAAACATTAGTCATCGCTTCGCCATGATAGTTCCTCGTTTTTTTGGCATTTTGGGGCCATAAAATATGAATTCAGGACGATTTTCAATTTTTCATGTGTAATAGTCCACACAATCTGTATGAACTCGGCGATTGGCGCCGAATCGTTGAAAAATTTTCGGGCCCACCAGAAACGACATAATGAACTAGTCATTGCTTCGCCATGACTATTGCTCGTTTCTTGGCATTTTGGGACCATAAAATAGGAATTCGGGACGATTTTCAGATTTACGTATGCTATAGTCCACGCCATCTGCATGAATTCGGGCGATCGGCTTCGAATAGCCTAAAATTTTGCTGGCCCATAAAAAACAACCTAATGAATAATAGTCATCGATTCGCCATGACCATTCCTCATTTTTTGGTGTTATAGGGGCCATAAAACAGGAATTCAGGATGATTTTCAGATTTTCGTGTGCTATAGTCCACGCTCTATATGAATTCGGGCGACTGGCTACAAATCGCCTAAAATTTTGTGGGCCCATAAAAATTGACCTAATGAAAAATTGTCATCCCCTCGTTATGACTGTTCCTTATTTATTGGCGTTTTAAGGCCATAAAACATGAGATCAAGACGATTTTCAAATTTTCGTATGCTATGGTCCACGCCATCTGCATGAACTCAGCCGATCATCTTCGAATCGCATAAAATTTTGCGGGTCCATCAAAAACAACCTAATGAACAATGTTCATCGCTTTTCCATGACCGTTCTTCGTTTTTTGGCGTTTTAGGGCTAGAAAACAGGAATTTAGGATGATTTTTAGATTTTCGTGTGTTATAGTCCACACCATCTGCATGTATTTGGGCCACTGGCTCTGTATCGCCTAAAATTTTGGTAGCCCATCAGAAATAACCTAATGAACAAGATTCATCGCTTCACCATGACCATTCTATGTTTTTTAGCGTTTTAGGACCATAAAACAGGAATTCAGGACGATTTCCAGTTTTTTTATATTATAGTCCATGCCATCTATACCTTCAGCATAATCGTTTCTCGTTTTTTGGTATTTTAGAGTCAAAAAATGGAATTACGATTAATTTTTAAATTTTCGTGTGTGAATCCGCTGTACCGAATCCGAATCGCCTAATATTTTGCATGGCCATAAAAAATGACTTGATGAATAATAGTCATAGTTTCGGCATGACCGTTCCTCTTTTTTGACATTTTAGGCCCAAAAAATTGGAACTCGGGCTGATTTTCAAATTTTGGTGTGGTATAGTCAACGCCATCTGCATGAGTTGGGGCCTACTAGATCCGAATTGCCTAAAATTTTGTAGGTCTGCAAAAAATGAACGAATAATAGGCATGGGTTCGGCTTGACCATTCCTTATTTTTTTGGCATTTTAGGACCAAAAAGCTAGAATTTGGGCAAATTTCTAAATTATTGTGTGCTATAAACCACGCCATCTGCATGAATCCGGGATATCGGATTCAAATCTCCTAAAATTTTGCGCGGCCATAAAAAATGACCTAATGAACAATAGTCACGGCTCCGGCATGGCCGTTCCTTATTTTTTCGCAGTTTAGGGCAAAAAAAACTGAAATTCGGGCTGATTTGCAAATTTTCGTGTGTTATAGTACACGCCATCTGCTTGAATCTCGACTACCAGATCAGAATTGCCTAAAATTGTGTGGAGCCATAAAAAATGATCTAATGAACAATACGCATGACTTTGGCATGACCGCTCCTCGTTTTTTGGCATTTTAGGACCAAAAAATTAGAATTTGAGCTCATTTCAAATTTTTCATATGTTATAGTTCACGCCATCTGCATGAATCAGGGGGGACTAGATTTGAATCGCCAAAAATTTTGCGGGGCCATCAAAATTGACCTAATGAACAATAGTCATGGTTTCAGCATGGTCGTTCCTCGTTTTTTGGCATGTTAGGGCCAAAAAATTAGAATTCGGGTCGATTTTCAAATTTTCATGTGTTATAGTCCACGCTACCTGCATGAATCCGGGCTACCAGATCCGGATCGCCTAAATTTTACGGGGCCATCAAAAATGACATAATGAACAATAGTCATAGCTTCGGCATGACCATTCCTTTTTTTGGCATTTTAAGGCCAAAAAATTAGAATTCGGGCCAATTTTAATATTTTCGTGTGTTACATAGTCTACACCATCTGCATGAATCTGATCTACTGGATCCGAGTCGCCTAAAATTTTGTGGGGTCATCAAAAATGACCTAATGAAAAATAGTCATCGATTTGTCATGAATGTTCCTCGTTTTTTTGGCATTTTAGGGCTAAGAAACAGGAATTCGGGTTTATTTCAAATTTTTCGCGTCCACCATATGCATGAATCCAAGCTACTGGATCCAAATCGCCTAAAGTTTTGGGGGCCACCAAAAAATGACCTAATGAATAATAGCCACAATTTCGGCACGATCGTTCCTCCTTTTTTGGAATTTTAGGGCTAAAAAACTAAAATTCGGGCCCATTTCCAAATTATCGTTTGCTATAGTCCACGCTATCTGCATGAATCCAGGGTATCGGATCCGAATCGCCTAAAATTTTACGGGACTATAAAAAATGACCTAATCAACAATAGTTATCGCTTCGCCATGACCGTTTCTCATTTTATGACATTTTAGGGCCATAAAACAGGAATTCAGCACGATTCCCACATTTTCGTGTGCATTAGGATTCCGTTCCTCGTTTTGAATCGTATTAAATCTTGTTTTATGGTCCAAATTCCAAAAGAAAAAGATGAACAATCATGACAAAATAATGACTATTGTTTATTAGGTCGTTTCGGATGGGTCCACAAATTGTAGGCGATTCGGAGTCTGTCACCCGAATTTATGAAGATGACGTGGATTAGCACCCGAAAAATCAAAAAATCGTTTTGAATTTCTATTTTATGGCCCTAAAACACCCAAAAATAAGGAACAGTAATGGCGAAACAATGACTATTGTTCATTATTTCGTTTCTGATGGGACCATAAAATTTTAGGCGATACGGAGCTCGTCGCCCACACGAGAATCAGAAATCATCCTGAATTCCTATTTTATGGCCCTAAAACGCCAAATAACAGAAAACAGTCATGCCGAATTCGTGAAGATGGTGTGAACATTAGCACACGAAAAATTGAAAATCGTCCATAACTCCTGTTTTAGGGCCTAAAAGGCCAAAATGGGACAGTCATGGCTAAGCAATGACAACTGTTCACTAGGTCGTTTCTGATGCGTCCACAAAATTTTAAGTGATTCGGATCTCGTCGCCCGAATTCATGAAGATGGTGTGGACATTAGCACATGAAAAAATCGAAAATCATCTTGAATTCATGTATGATGATCCTAAAACGCCAAAAACAAGAAATAGTCATGGCAAAGCAATGATTATTGTTCATTAAGTCGTTTCTGATTGGCCCACAAAATTTTAGGCGATTTAGAACCCGTTGTCTGAATTCATAAAGATGGCACGGACATTAGCACACGAAAATTTTTAAGAAATTACCCTAAATTCCTGTTTTTAGCCCTAAAATGCCAAAAAACGAGAAATAGCCGTAATGAAGCGATGGCTATTGTTCATTAGGTCGTTCTGATGGGCCCACAAAATTTTAAGTGATTTAGAGCCCTTCGTCGAGTTCATAAAGGTGACGTGGACATTAGCACGGGAAAAATTGAAAATCATCCTGATTTCTTATTTTATGACCCTAAAACGCCAAAAAAAATTCTTGTTTTATGGCCCTAAAACGCCAAAAAAAGGGATGGTCATGGATAAGCCATAACTATTTTTCATCAAATTACTTTTGATGGGCCCACAAAATTTTAGGTGATTCGGACCCCGTCGCCCGAATTCATGAAGAAGTCGTGGAAATTAGCACACGAAAAATTAGAAATCATCCTGAATTCTTGTTTTATGGCTCTAAAATGCCAAAAAATGAGAAACAATCATGGCGAAATAAGGACTTCTGTTCATTAGGTCATCTCTGATGGGTCTACAAATTTTTAGGCAATTTGAAGCTCGTCGCCCGAATTCATGAAGATGGTGTGGACAACACACAAAAAATGGAAAATCGTTTTGAGTTCCTGAATGCCAAAACACAAGGAGCGGTCATGGCGAAATAATGACTATTGTTCATTAGCTCGTTTCTAATGATCCCACAAAATTTTAGGTGCTTCATAGCCCATAGCCCGAATTCACGAAGATGGTGTGGACCTAAGCACATGAAAAATCGAAAATCATCATAAATTTCTGTTTTATGGTCCTAAACTGCCAAAAAACAAGGAACAATCATGGTGAATGATGACTATTGTTCATTAGGTCGTTTTAGATGGGTCCACAAAAATTTTAGGTGATTCGGAGCTCGCCGCTTAATTCATGAAGATGGCATGGACATTAGCACACGAAAAATTGGAAATCATCCTGAATACCTGTTTTATGGCCCTAAAACGCCGAAAAACGAGAAACGGTCATGGCGAAATGGTGACTATTGTTCATTAGGTCGTTTCTGATGGGCGGACTCCATCGCCCAAATTCATGAAAATTAGCAAATAAAAAATTAAAAATCATCCTCAATTCCTTTTTTATTGGCCCTAAAACGCCAAAAAAATGAGGAACGGCATGTAGGAGCAATGACTATTCTTCATTATGGCGTTTCTGATAGGCACACAAAATTTTAGGTGATTCGGAGCCCGTCGCCCGAATTCATGAAGATTGCATAGACATTAGCACACAAAAAATTGGAAATTGTCCTAAATTC